GGTCGTTTGAAGTATTTCTTGGGTATTGAAGTAGCTAGGAGCAAGGATGGCATCTTTATATGTCAGAGAAAGTATGTTCTTGACTTGCTAAAGGAAATTGGACAGCTTGGAGGTAGACTATGTGATACACCTCTAAAACTAGGCCAGAAACTTAGTGAGGATCAAGAGAGAGAGCCAGTGGACAAGAGGTGATATCAGAGACTAGTGGGCAAGCTCATATACTTATCTCAGTCATGTCCATACATTGCCATTGCCGTGAGCATGGTGAGCCAATTTATGCATGCTCCTAGAACTTCCCACTTAGAGGTAGTTATGAAAATCCTGAGATACTTGAAGTCTTCTCCTGGAAAGGGTCTTTACTTCTCAAAACATGGCCATCTCAGTGTGTTGGAAGCATTTACTGATGTAGATTGGGCAGGATAAGTTACTGATAGACAATCAACTTCTGGATACTGCATATTTGTTGGTGGCAACCTAGTCATATGGCAAAGTAAGAAACAAAATGTGGTTGCTCGATCTAGTGCTGATGCAGAATTCAGGGTTATGGCTCAGGGGGTATGTGAGTTACTATAGATTAAACTATTGTTGGGAGACTTGGGAATTAATCAAACTGACTCCATGCAACTATACTGTGACGACAAGGCCACAATCAACATACCTCATAATCCAATTCAGCATAATAGAACTAAGCGTGTGGAGATTGATATGCACTTCATCAAGGAAAAACTCAGTAGTGGCACCATATGTATTTCATTTGTGAAGACTGGAGACCAACTAGCTGATGTTCTCACCAAGGGACTAGGGAGCAAATCCTTTCATGGCATTCTCAACAAGCTGGGTATGACAGATATCTTCGCACCAGCTTGAGGGGGAGTGTTAGAATAGGAAATTGTTAGATTGTTAGAATAGGAAATATTAGAATGGGAAATGATTGATTGTATGCGTATTTATTCCTTTTTGGTTGCTCAGAATTATGCCGGTAATTGCTCAATTATCCATATAAAAGGGAATGAAGTCTAACTCATTCCCTAACTCTTTCTCCTCTCTAAAACTACATAACGGCCGTAGTAGTACCGTAACGGTTCGTTAAACACCGTTACACCCTTGTACAATATTCTAAATAGCTTCTTCCCCCCCCCTCCCCTAACCCCCAAAAAAAAGCTTACAAAAAAATAACAAATACTTAAGTGATCCAAGTCCGAAAAAATAATCTTATATGAATTTTTTTTCTTTATGATTTTTTTTTTAAAATTTATGGCACAATTTTTATTTTATAATCTTTTCATTTAATAATTGTTAATAATTTTTATTCAGATAGTTTAGGTATTGGTAAAAAATAATTTGTCAACATTTAAAATCAATTATTCTTAAAATCATTAACTATTTAAATAAAATGTAAAAATCTCATTTTATAGTGATTTGAAATTATGAAATATATTGAATTATACTAAAAAATGGGGAATTGACCAGTAAATCCCGTTTTGTAGACTTGCATAGTTGTCAAATCGGGATTCGTATCGTGAATCGAAATGATCTCGTACCGAATCGCGAATCGAATTGAATCGCGAATCGTAAAGATTCAATCGCTTTTTCTAAATCACTTAAAAACATATATCTACACATTTAGATGTTAAATGTATCTTATGAATATAAAATATTTAGACTTAAATCAACAAAAATATTATTTTGAATGATACTCACGTAATTTAATAGGTAAGAAGTTAACAAAAGTTCCTATGTAAAATCACCATCTTACCTTTTTTTTTTTTTTTTTTTTTTTTTTTTTTTTTTTTTTAAGGTAATAACCAAATAGAAACTATTAATTTCTAAAGTAACAATAGTTAACAACGATATTGATATTTGGACAATAAGCATATATACTTTTCTAAGTAAGAGTGAGCAAATAATAAGAAAGAATTATTTAGGATATTTTATTTTAAAGCCTAAAACATTTTAATAGGTATAACTGACCTCACACATGTAGTATTCAATTTAATAAAATAGTAATAGATAATTCATAGTGTAACTCTAATCTTAAACATCTTTAGAAGATATATTACAATTTTTTGAAGGGGACAAAAATGAGAAGAAATGTTAAAAATATGTTAGGTCAGACTGAATCTGATTGGATCCTATAAAAAACTCCATGATCACTAAAATAATAACAATTCATATATATATGTTGGTTATTTTGGTATTAAATACTATTAGAAGTTGTATTATGTCATTTTCACTAAAAAGATTGAAAAAACGAGTCGAAAATATGTCGAACACAATAATTTCAAAAATTGCATATATCGTAAAAACCGAATCGAATCGTGAATCATGCGATTCACTAGAAATTCACTTCCGAAATAGATTCACTTATAGATTCGTATCGATTTTACAAAAATTACGTATCGAATCGCGAATCTTAAGATTCTGATAACAGAGTAGACTTGTAATCCATAAGGTCCTAAATGTTTTTTTGGTGACTGAGTGGTCTTTTAAATTATTTGTTGACTGTTTTGTCATTGTTAATACAGTTGGGGGATAGGTGGCGTGGTTATGTATGGGGAAGGTGGTGGGGTGTTTGTGTGTCACGTTGTTCGAAAAGTGCAATAGTAGCTTTTTAAAGTTTGATTGTTTTTAACACACGCAGTGTGGGACATGAATTCCTTACTAATTGTTTTTTGGCATGTGACGTAAAGACACGCAGTAATTCAATCAAATTGGTTCTGTCACATTGGAGTGTCACATGTCACGTTTAGAAAAAGTACACTAAGGAGTTTTTAATTTTTTTAGAGTGTCACAACATACTGTCACGTTGTCACATTTGAAAAAAAGTATACTAAGGAGTTTTTATTTTTTTTGGAGTGTCACATCATACATACCACGTCGTTACATTTGGAAAAAGTACACTAAGGATGAGTAAAAATTTTGGAGTATCACATCATATCTGCCACGTTGTCACATTTGGGAAAAGTACACTAAGGAGTTTTTAATTTTTTTAGAGTGTCCCATCGTTGGAGTGCCACATTAATATCTGTTACATTGGAGTATCACACCATACCTGTCGCACATTCCAAAAAAAAAAAAATTTCTCCCATTAACTATCAGGGAATATATGTCTAACCAATATCCATCCACGTTTGAAAAAGAACTTACTGGTCACACACTACACCTAATAAGGACCTCTCAATCAACCATTTAAAACGTGGGACCAAATGGTACAGAAGTTCCCAAAATAGAACTTTCCAATAAATTTCTCCTTAAAAATTAACAAAAATTGATCAAAATTTATTTTAAATCCCAATAAATGTGATTCTGAAAAAAAATAAATATGCATATCGGTACGTTTTCTTCAAATTGTGCGAAAAATAAAAAAAATCACGCTTCTGATTACTGCAACTGTTATGCTACGGCTTTTACACCCTGCAACCGCTATTGTGTCACCGCAACCGCTATAGTGACAACAAGCACTTTTCAAAACCTTGCTCATAAGAAACCCTATATGGTTTAGAAGTGCAGCCTTCATTGTCATTTACATACGTAGTGACGTATTATGTGTAGGAGAGAGGAGGAGAACATAAATAATTTGTTTTTGCTTTGTCTTGAGTTTGGCTCTATGTCATAAACTATTTTGGCTGGTGGAAATTGATTGGGTGGCATCAGCTACTTGTGTTCAAATAATTTTGATTGATTATAAAGGCTTTGGTTTATGAAGAAAGCCCAAGTGCTTTGAGATTGTGTTATTTGTGTGGTTCTTTCAGTGATTTGGTTGGAGAGAAATGTTAGGATTTTTTTAGGATAAATCTGAAGAATTAGAAGAATTATAGAATAAAATTGATCATTTCTCTTCCTTTTGACATTCTGTATCATCTCCTTTTAAGGGATCTCTTTGTTTTTAATTTCTAGGGATTGCTGAGTTGTGTAATATATTTTGATTTCTTTCCTTCTTTCTTTTTTTGGTGGATTTCTTTTTCTCCATTTTATTGGGGAAGGAAAGCTTGGCACCCAAGAGGAGCTCCTTCTGGAAGGTGGGGAAACAAAGGGAATGGCTTCAAAGTATTCCAATGTTGGATGTTGTGGAGGCTGCATTGGGTGGCAGTCTGCGAGAAAGGGATTTACGTCAATTTGACGTTTCATCGAAATTGATTTCAAAGTTATTTAATTCTTAAGAAGTAGGTAACCATAGTGTTAAATTAGAAAAGTTTACCTTCTATAATGACAAGGGTGGTGTGGTGGCCTAAACAGATAAGCATAGTGTTAAATTAGAAAAGTTTGCTTTCTCCAATGGTAAGGGTTGTAGCCTAGACCACGAACAAGTGGTTAGGAAGGTGGAAGAATTGGCTGATGGAGAAAAAAAGGTTAAGGGAAGTGTGACGGTTGTACCAGCCTTCTGAAAATTGAACCAGAGAAATTCAAAAATCTTGTGAGGAGGGAGATTTGAGAGTTTCGAAAGGTTAGGGGAAGGTGAAAATCATCATCTGGGAAGGGTAGGGAACTTAAAAAGCTTCATTGCACAGTTAATTATGATGTACAGGAGGGGAGTGAGCCTTTACGGGGGGAATGACGATGAGGAGGATATGGTTGAGTGTTTGTTTTGATGATAGTAAAATTCCTAAGAAGCCGAGCCGGACATCAAATTTGTTGTTGCTATTGGTAAAGCTGGCAGAAACAATGGGAAATCAATGTCAGAAGAGGAAAAAGCACCTTTTGTGATGTGAAGTATTTCAGTAGTTGGGAGTGGATTTTTTTGTTTTTTTTAAAAATAGTTTTATAAGGGGTGTTGGCTCATCTTTTGTATTTGTAAGGGTTGTGCCTAATCAGCACATTCTCTAATACAATTTTCTTTGTTGCTAAAAAAAAAAAAGTTGTCTAAATGAAGCGTCTTTTTTTTATCAGAATTTTGTAGTAGTGTTTTCATTGTTTAATTTATTTTTCAACAAATGTTTCGATCACAATGTGTTTTTGCTGCATCCATGTTTTGACCTCTATGTTGCTCATGATTAATTCAGGTGTTTCCAGTCAGGTGGATTGTGCAATAAAAATTCGTAACCTTGAAACTAAACTAGATTCTGTAGTTTGTACAATAAAAGATCGTAAGGAGCTGGAGAAGCATGTACCAATGCCCTCAGAAATTGTGGTGGAGTATGACAAAGCGGCTAGCTTATGGTCCCTACATGAACAAATAAAACAAATAGAGTTGGCAGTTGAAGAAGCTGCTCAATCAAGTTCTAGGAGAAGTAAATGGCAATTTATGGGAGCAAGGGATGCTGGAGCCAAGGAAGAGCTTCGGCAAGTTTATGGGGTCTCTGAAAGGACAGAAAGTGATGGTGCTGCTAATCTAATTCAAAAGTTGAGGGCTATTAACTATGCACTTGGTGAACTAGGACAATGGTGTGCTTACAAGGTGCCTCGTAGTTTTACATATCTTGATCAACTAGACAATTGTTTGTGGATTGATTTGCTGAGCTTCATTCCTTTTGCAGGTTGCTCAATCTTTTTTGACAGCTTTACAAAATGATGAGAGGGCAAACTACCAGCTTGATGTCAAGTTTCAAGAATCATACTTAAGTGAAGTTGTCACTCTCTTGCAATGCCAATTGTCAGAAGGAGCCGTTTCAGAGAACAACTCAAAAAATGCTACTGCAGATAATGATGCTACTCAAGGTGCGAGTGACCTTGACGAAATAGAAGAGGGGGAGCTTCCTGGCAGTCATGGTATATCCTGCTTAATCAAATAGAGAAATGATTTGATTATATTCCTGTTTTGATTATATAACTTATCTTTATTGTTATTGTTTATGTATTGCTATAAGTGTGATTATAAAAGCATTTTTAATTGGTATATAAGTTAATTAACATGTAACAGGTTATGCACTTCATACATGTATGATGTATGTAGGACATTTTGACAAACAAGGTATGCTGCAATAGCCAATATCCTGCAAATATCCTCTCTGAAGGATCAGATATTTACTTTTTTATTTATTTCATTTCTAGAAGATTCCATTTTTGCTTTGCTTTGCTTTAGGGATACACATTTTCTCTGTGCAACTGCTCAATTGTGTATTAGAGTAGCAATCTACCAACTTCATTGAAATATGTAGCAGTTGGCAATGCTGCACTTTAAGGTCTTTAACCTTTCTTGCTTGGAGTAGTTTGGATATTGTATTGTGTCTGTGGATTTCTCAAATATGAGACTGGGGCTACTTCAACATTTAGGAATGGTGCCTCATCTTCAAAGGAAGTTTTCCTTGTAATTCATGACTGTAGGGCAGCCACAGTTACCAAGTACTCTGTTGCTATATATGGACTTCTGGTATGTTGGAAGCTGAATATGAGATGTATAGTTATGAACTTTCTGGTGCAGGCTGATTTTTGTGAGATTTTATGAGTACGAGTTTAGGGTTTTGATGATTACAGTAGAAGGAACAGTCTAGGGGGTTATACTATATTCTATGGAAATAAAAATCATAGATGTCCTTGGAGAATTAGGGCATATGTAGTTGAAAGTATCTTTAAAGATAAATAGTAGGTAAGGCTTACTCGTTAAGGTGCTTAACTAGATTGTAAAGCTATGATATAATATTAGTCCATTGAAAGATGTTACTAAAATTAATTTTGTTCTTTACATTTGCCAAAACAGTTCATTCTATTGTTATAAAGAACTTTATTTTATGTCATAAATTCAGCAGGCGATCCTTTCATGACCATAACTGCTGGACCAATAGCCTTGTTGCACTTGCATCTGATTTGTTTTTGGTATGGAGTGCACTAGAAGGGAGTTCAGCCCTTTTTTCCCCTTAACTTCTTCTCCCCGTGAGCTTGAAATATATTCAAGCAACATTGGTTGTTTGGGTGACTCTCCAAGGCACCAATACCATCCATTGAAAGCTTGCCCATGCATGAAACATTCACTATCTTTATTTCTCTGTTTCTTAAGTGTTTTAGTAGTTTATGAGCTAATGATGGACTACTCTCTGACATACCTTTTATGCTGGTATAGTTGTCTCTGGTGGAGAGCATGTGGATGTAATTATAGGAGCTGCTGTAGCTGATGGAAAAGTTACGCCAAAGGTGCAGTCCTTGATTAAAATACTTCTTAAATATCAGCATACAGAGGATTTCCGTGCAATCATCTTTGTTGAGCGAGTTGTGGCTGCCTTAGTTCTTCCAAAGGTTGATAACGTTAATGCATATCATTCTCTATGGGGCATTATTTGTTCTTGTGAGTTAGTCATTTATTTTTCCAAATGTGCAGGTTTTTGCCGAGCTTCCATCCTTGAGTTTTGTGAAGTCTGCAAGTTTGATTGGACACAACAATAGTCAAGAAATGCGGACAAGCCAAATGCAAGACACAATTGGCAAATTCCGAGATGGTCGTGTATGTCTAAACACCATTCTTTCTAACTCAATTCTGTGAAAAGTTAATTTTTATTGAAAATTGCATCTGGATTGTAGGTGACTTTGCTGGTAGCAACTAGTGTTGCTGAGGAAGGTCTTGATATACGACAATGTAATGTTGTTATCCGCTTTGACCTTGCAAAAACTGTTCTAGCATACATTCAATCTAGGGGTAGAGCTAGAAAGCCTGGGTCAGATTACATTTTGATGGTTGAGAGGTACTTGTGTTCATTTGGTTCCATGTCAGCATTAAATTTGACTTTGGTGGTCTAAGTATGATATGTATACTAATTTTGGATCTAAATGATTAAATTTCTTTGTTCCCTTTTAAATGCTTTCTGTAGGGGAAATTTGTCACATGAAGCATTTTTGAGGAATGCTAGAAATAGTGAAGAGACTTTGCGGAAGGAAGCAGTAGAAAGAACTGACCTCAGCCATCTGAAGGGTACCTCAAGGTTAATTTCAGTGGATACAACACCGGGTACAGTGTACCAGGTGGAGTCAACTGGTGCTGTTGTGAGCTTAAATTCTGCTGTGGGACTCATCCATTTCTATTGCTCTCAGCTACCCAGTGACAGGTGCAGTTTCTAATCTTTATGGCCATTATCTTTCTTCAGTCATTTACTCTTACCTTTGGTCATTTTTGGACACAGTTTATAGTTAAATTGTTTTGCATTGATTTTCAGATATTCAATTCTTCGTCCTGAGTTTATCATGGAGCGCCATGAGATGCCAGGAGGCTCCATTGAATATTCATGCAGACTTCAGCTCCCCTGTAATGCACCCTTCGAAAAACTCGAGGGTCCTGTTTGCAGTTCAATGCGCCTTGCACAACAGGCATGCTGGCATCATGTTATCAATGCATGTAAGCTTCATCTAACACTCATTCCAGATAAATAGGTCACTAATTTTGTTAATGTGCAGGCTGTTTGTTTGGCTGCTTGCCAGAAGCTTCATGAGATGGGGGCATTTACTGACATGCTCTTGCCAGACAAGGGAAGTGGGGAAGAAGGAGAAAAAGTTGACCAAAATGATGAAGGAGATCCACTCCCTGGGACTGCTAGGCACAGGGAGTTCTATCCTGAAGGTGTAGCTAATATTCTCCAGGTTAGTTCCTCCTGCATGTCATATGTTTAAGGTTATCTGCCTGAAGTATTTGAAAATATGATAAACCGGCAAGACTGAATATCATCAATATGTTTCCTTTGGTTATTAATCTTTTCTAAAGCTTCAATATAAATTCCAGTGCTATCTTTTATTGGGTCAACATGAATATAATGCAAAAATTTATTAAAAAAGGAAACAAGGCAATATCAGTTACATAGAAGACATATAATGTAGCCATAAAGAAAATTTGAAATATGAAAGACCAATTAATGGCCATTTGGAGAAGTACCCTACATATGTATCTGAATATCAACTCCCCGGACTTGGAATTCAAAAACTACTCATCATAGCTGATGTGTTTTGTTGTGTTTCTAACAAATGTGCACAAAAATGCTGTTGATGGTGGACTGTTTGATTAGATGCAACTAGATCATTCCCTGATGAATGCATTATGTGCAAGATGGGCCTGGATCAATTGATATCATTTGCTTTTTGCCTCCCAAATTCTAGAGATTTGGATGACTTTCTTTCAACAACTTGAACCCTAAGCAGTCCAATGCTATGAAGCACGGACATGGGGCACGGCGATTTCAAAAAAAAAAAAATGGGGACACAGACATTGCAGGGGACACTGCTTATTTTTTTATTTATAAATATATATGTATTTACAATGTAAATTAATATTATGTTACCAAACAATCAAAATTAATAAAACTAACATTAATTCAATGTATATATAAAAGCCACTACATTTAAATAAATAAATAGAAAAAGAAAAAAAATTGTTTAAAGAGAAATATATAATATATTTATTATAAATAGTATATAATAGTATTTCCCATATTTATTATAGACAAATAGATGATAGTGAAACGAGATAGAGAGATGACAAGAGAGAGAGAGAGAGAGAGAGAGAGTGAGAGAGGAGAGAGAAGAGAGACTTACCAGACTGGAGATGGAGCTTGATGGAGAGAACGATCAAATGCCTTCCTCGAACAGGTTCTTTGTTTCTCTTCTCTCTTTTTTTGTTCTGACTTAGGATTTAAGTCTTCTGATTTAGAATTTGTTTGAGTTAGGGATTTCTAATTTTTTTTTACTTTATTAAATTTACACTTTGACCCAAAAGATATACAAAAATTAAAAAATTGGCTCCGCTGTGTCCCCTTGCCATGTCCCCACCGTGTCCCATACCAAAAAAACATAAAAAATTAAATGGCGTGTCCTCGTACGTGTCCCTGTGTCTGACACTGCTATGGCACCTATTTTGAAGTGTTCATGCTTCATATTAGGGCCTATTTTCTGAAAATTAAGCCAGAAATTTGAAATGCTTTAGGATTAGCAAAGCTCTTGTAGTTTGTTTGACAAGTTTCTTGGGAATTAGAATTCCTGCAGATGTTGGAACTCCCTTAAAATGCATTAGTTTTAGCTTATAGACTGTAACAGGTTGTAATTGCTATTTATTGCTCGTCTAGTTTTATGTTAACCTACTATAATTTTTTAAAGATGGCTTTTGCACATATTATATATGTGTGTGTGTGTGTGTGTATATATATTAGCTTGGGATCTACGTTACATGGATTCAGGTATGAGTGTCGGGTGCAGGTATGTATATAGAGGTCAGACTCGACAAACCTCTAAATGAGAGATACACAGGTTCGTCTAATAAGTACACAAAAATTAGACATGGGTACGTGGATACGGCTAAATATGGATGTGTAAAAAAAAAAATGATATTTTTTAGGCATCACACTAAAATATAAAATATAATAAATTGTATATGATTTTATTTTATATATTTTTTTGAAAATAGATGATTTATTTTATATATCTAATAAATAAAATAATAATTTATGTATATAATAATTTTATAATATAAATAATTTATATTATATATGATTTATTTTATGTTATATATGATTTTTTTGTTATCGGTTGAAGAGAGAGAGAGAGAGAGAGAGAAGATAGATTGATGAGGGAAATCGAGAGAGGAGACAGAGGGAGATCGAGAGACAAGAGAGAAGACGATCTAGATCGAGATCGAGAGGAGCATCGAGCGAAGAAGATGAGATCAAAGTCGAGTGAAGAAGATAAGATCGAAGTCGACACGGGTACCTCCAAAATTCCAAAAGTTCGTGTAACGTAGCTTGGGACCACAAATGTTTAGTCAAATTCAATGGTATTTTGTTGATTTTTGAAAATTAAGTTTGTTAACAAAGTATTACTCCCTTCATCCCAATTTCCAACTCTTGCTTTCATTTTTTTGGAAGTCCCATTTTATGGGTGCCTCTATTTACACACCACATTTAGTCTCAAGGCACATCATTAATTGGTTATTTTTTATTACAATAATGACCTTACATAAAATGACAAAAATGACCATAAAAGAACATCAATACACCCCCTACACACCACCACTCTACGCTGTCTGATTCTACCTTCGGCCACCGTCACCGAAACCCAGCTACCATCGCAACCCCCACAACCTCCCTACCTCGCCGGCGACCCCTTTCCCCTATGCAAACCCTTCTCCCTGTTGATTGAAATTCGACTTTCCAAATTCAAGATCGACTCTCCTTGATCCTATGTGTTGTCAAGAACAGAGCCTTTGATCTCGCAACTTGATTTCCTTACTTTGCAACTTGATGCCTTTGGATTTTGCGACTTGATTTCTCTACTATTTTGAAGTTTCTAGTTCGTAAACTCTCAAGAACCCTAGTCGGCAGTTCGCGATTTGGTCCACTCTGGTGCTGCATCCTTGGGAAACTGGTGTTCGAGTATGGACCTTTTTCGCGACTGGCTTCAGATCCTCTCTGCTCCTTTTTGGGTTCACAACTACTGGGTTTTGTATCGAAACCCTAGATCGAGCACATCGTGAACTAAAGAAGTATCACAAGTCCCAATTTCGGAATTGTTATTACATCGCGACTTGTGAATCAAAGAGGCACCTGGAATTAGAGTTCGGAGTCATTGGTCACAGTGCGATTGCTGAAACTTATCTGGATTCGTTGTGGGCTTGAGTCTGGCTTCCGACTTGTTCTTGTATTCTGGGTTGACTGAGGCAACATTTGGGGGTGGAATAGGGTTTGGGAGTGTTGTTGGAAGTGGTAAGGATGGATGGAGGAGTAAGGAAGAGATTTGCCGGAGAAGGAGGGAGAGGTGACGGCCTGTGGCGAGTGGCGGCAGCGGCTAGGGTTAGGGTTAGGGTTAGGGTTAGGGTTAGGGTTAGGGTTAGGGTTAGGGTTGGGGTTGGTGGGGTGGTTGAAGAAGATTGGGATATTTTAGGTATATATAAAAATGGATGGTGTGCATTGAGCAAAAATAATAAAGTTAAAATTGTGTTTGGTGTGCATTAAGTAAGTGATGTGCTTGAGACCAAATGTGGTGTGTAAATAGAGGCACCCCCATTTTATGTGTACAAGGCTTAAGTTTAATCACTACTTCCTGTATTATCCTTCTTTGAATTTATGTTTAAACACTATCCCAATTCCAAAAAAATTATTCAAACAAGGCGAAAGGCATGGTCAATAGCTACATAAAATGCGACGGAGGAGTAACATTTTGACTTGTACATTTACTCACTATAAATTATTTGACATAATGATGTTTTTTATACTAAAATAGACTGTCGAAATAATTGTTAATTTTGAATCTCAAGTGCCTCATTGTAACAATTTTGGTTCTTGAGAATACTTTTCTCAAGAAGAGTTTGAACTCTCTAGGATTTCCAACTCTCAAGAATTAAATTCCTAGCAAGTGAACAGACCATTAATATCAACCTATGAAGCACAGACACGGACACTGACACGGGACACGACAATTTCCAAAAAATGGAGACACGGACATGGCGGGGGACACGACAAATAATTTTTTTTAAAATATATTTTTATGTGTTATTTAGACTCATAATACATTCATCCTAAATCAAAATTAACAAACACTAACATAGTAACATTAATTCAATAAATATTAATCACTACATTTAAACAAATCAATAGATCATTCATTCACAAAAAAGTCATAATAAACGATAATAAGAACTAAGACGAGAAGGGGAAAATATTCAACATCCAACAATATTCTTCACAAAAGCACTAAATAAGAGGCAAAAGGAGAAAAAAAAGAAAAGAAAAAAAAAGAGTGAGCTCTGTCGTGTCCCATGCCGTTATAGACATGTGTGTCCCCTACAAAAAAAATCATTAAATTAAAGGGACACGCCAGATGGCGTGTCCTGTATGTGTCCCTGGCGTGTTCGCGTGTCAGACACCGCCACGACACCGATTTTGGAGTGTCCATGCTTCATAGATATCAACTACTGCAGCTTCTAAATTGTTGCATTGGCAGGAAAGAAATCCTCCTGCATTTGTGGAAAGCATAGTTGTCAAGTCGAGAATCGTATTATGAATCGAAATCCTAATTTTGCGAATCGTGAATCAATTTGAATTGAGAATCGTTAAGATTTAGTAGACTTTAAAAAATGATGTTAAACAATTGTATATATAAATGAAATAAATTGATTTTGATATTTGTTATATAATCGTTCTAATATAAAGGCATGATTACATTACATTTTCTAATTCGGAAAGCATTGCATTGAACAAGAGATAAGGGTCCAAATCCCACTAAATTATAAAATTATTCAAAAACCATAATATAATGTTTCTTGACATTCAAAAAATGAACCTAGGAATCTTATATGTATAATAAGAATAAAGAATTAAGTGGAACCATTGGATTTGATTGACTTGACTCATGTAATAATGGACAATATTTATTTTACTAAAAATATGAATATATAATTCATGGGAGCAAGTTATTTTAACTTTAAACATCTTTCGAAGATTTATTATGACATTTTTTTAAAATTCAGTGGTACTTTGAAAAAATAATTACTGATTCATGAAAAAGTTTAAGATTTTAATTATTAATATTTATAAAGTTTACTACTGATTTGTAATTATGTTTTAAAAATATCACTGATTTGATATTTTGTCCTTTTCTAAACTAAAAAAAAAAATGAGAAAAAAATTGATTAAGAAAATGTTGAGTCTGACTTGATTTAATTGGGTCCTATAAAAAACCCTTTGATTACCAAAATAACAAAAAATTATGCATAGATATGGCTTATTTTCGTATTGGACACTCTTACAAGTTGTATTATGGCATTTCACAACAAAAGAAAAAAAAGCAAGATAAAAATAGGTTGGAATTTGTCGGACATCATAGTTTCAAAAATTGCATGAATTGTAAAAAGTGAATTGAATAAAAAATCGATTGCGAATTTTGTGATTCACCATAGATTCGATCCAAAATAGATTTATCCATAGATTCTTATCTATCTATGCATGAATCGCGTATTGAAAATTGTAAGATTTGGATAATGGAGGTGGAAAGTCAGTCTTCTCTTCTAGAACTTTGATTCGTGGTTGGTTGTAAATTTGACCATTGATTGATTATATCCTGGATGTTCATTTAGGTTCTAACTAGACATTAAAAAGAAATGAACGCTTGGAATGCCTATTGCGGTTGAGGTGGCTATTTTTATATGTAAAGATCTCTCTTTTTGGCCATATATCAGTGGTACTTCAATGGTGCATTATGTACTTAATGCACCTAATATTATCTAAAATTTGTGGTTTTGTTGTCCTAAAGCTTGCATACAAGTCTTTTCATCTTCTTTGTCTACTGTTCATTCATTATTGTTTCTTCTGGAGCTTTAGTTGCATATTCTGTAAGGATGAGGTTATACAATTACTGAGATAGGGAGGTGAGGTGAGGATTGAGCTTAAGGTGTTTATTCTTCAAGTTGATTTATGAATCAAGAGGGGAGCTTATAAGGATCACTGAGAGGTTTCACAGTTATTCATAGACTGTTTATTTGGGTGGTGTCTATTGGGTTATTCAGTCTCTATGTGAAGCTGTAAGTTTTTGTTGGCAAGGCGATTTCTTTAGGAACTGATTAGGAACTGATTCGGAAGTTGATTTTTGAACAAAACTATTTGGTTTGAAAATCAACTTCCAAACCAAAGGTATAGTCGAACCATATAGTTTTGTTCAGAAGTTGATTTCCCAACTAAATAGTTTTATTCAGAAGTTAATTTCCAAACCAAATAGATGTGTGCACTAGGAGGAAATCATGTGTGGAAATAGAAGCTCTTGTACATGAACCATCTAATGAGCTCCCAAATGCATCCACCTTTCAATGCATGTAGCCAAATGGGATTTGAACCAATTCCCAACAGTGTGTTGCAGCCTTTCCCTATATTGAATATATAGGTATATAAATGTGTGACGCACCACCTTTTTTTCAACAACAAAATAAATTAACGATAAAAAAGGTACATTGAAAGTGCATGTGAGGACAAGAAGTCTTCCAAGAGGGAAGAAAAGAAAACATCGCAAATCACCTCTCTCCGTTAACTATTGATCAAATACAAATGAATACCCTTAAAAAAGGGTGAAGCCGAAGCTCAAAAGGATGACATATAACAAACTTGGTCCCAAATCCCTTGAAAATCCTCAAATATGTCTTCAAACACCCTTGCATTTCTTCCTAACGACACCATCTACAACATTGCACAAGCTACACCTTCCCAAAGAACTCATGCCTTCTTGCTTGAGACAAAACCCCTAAAATGAACTTGAAGCATTTGGGTACATGAGAAGAGGGAACCACCCAATCCTCTTGCACCACATGGAATAACCTCCACCATAATGCCCAAGTAACACAACAATATAGAAATACATGATCGCTGTCATCCTCATCCTCAATGCACATATCACACTACTATGGAAATAATAAACAATTAGGTATACTTTTTTGAATCGTGTTATTGGTATTGATCTTCTTATGAGTCAAAGACCAAACAAAAACTTTGACTTCAAGAGGCAATATGCATCCCAAAGCATATTATGAGGCTAGAGTGATACATTTGGATTATCATTAGTTTTGTCAAAAGAATATCTACAAGAAAAAAAACCCCTATATTCTCTTACCAACACAATCAGGCCTCATTGAAACACCATCAAGAATAGATGACAAAGAAGTCAACTCATCAACCTCATGATCATTGGGATTTTTAAATAAATTGAATTTCCAAGAGATTGGAACCAAAAAGGAAGAGACTACAAATGCAATGGAAACATTATGAGACCAAGATAGATGATATAATCAAGGGAACAAATGATCAAATGAACTATTTTTATAAATGATCAAATTTGAGTGTTCTTAGGATCTTTATTTATAAGACTAATTACATTTTTTATTAGTAAACCTTCCACAATTGTACTTTTTATGATGTGACATTTGGAAGATACTCAGTGTTAGTGGGATCCAAAATACACTAGGCCTTGACTCCTGTTGGCTATGCAGGGAGAATGGATTTTATCTGGGAGGGATGCTTGCTACAATTCCAAGTTGTTTCATCTTTACATGTATGATATTGAATGTGTAGATATTGGCTCCTCAAAAGATCCATTCTTAACTCAAGTTTTAGAGTTCGCTGTAGTCTTTGGCAATGAGCTGGATGCAGAGGTATCTCGTCATTAATTTTTATTGGACTGGTACAACATGCATAATGTTTATCTCTAACTACATGTTTTGTTGATAGGTGTTATCGATGTCGATGGATCTCTTTATCGCTCGAACCATGATAACAAAGGCATCTCTTGTCTTCCGGGGGTCAATAGATATTACTGAAAGTCAGGTTGGGATTGATCATTGACTTTTCTCAAGTGGTAGTCAAATTATAAAATGTTATTATTGTTTACATTTCTAGCTATGTTTGCTTGGATAAACCCTGTTCTCTGCTTTTATGCAGTTGGCATCCCTTAAGAGCTTTCATGTAAGACTAATGAGTATTGTACTGGACGTGGATGTTGAACCATCCACTACTCCTTGGGATCCTTCAAAAGCATATTTGTTTGTCCCTGTGGTTGGCGATAATTCTGTAGATCCTCTAAAAGAAATTGACTGGGATCTGGTTGAAAAAATAAGTAAGACGGATGCGTGGAACAATCCCCTTCAGAGAGCTCGGCCCGATGTTTACCTTGGCACCAATGAGCGAACACTAGGTGGAGACCGAAGGGAGTATGGATTTGGAAAATTGCGTCATGGCATGGCCTTTGGGCAGAAATCTCATCCTACCTATGGCATTAGAGGAGCTGTAGCACAATTTGACATTGTGAAAGCATCTGGATTGGTTCCCAATCGGAATGCTATTGAAATTGGAAATCATTTGGATTTGACTAAACGCAAACTGATGATGGCAGATTCTTTTATAGGTGTGGAAGATCTGGTGGGGAGAATTGTAACCGCTGCTCACTCTGGAAAGAGGTTTTATGTGGACTCTGTACGCTATGATATGACTGCAGAGAACTCATTCCCGAGGAAAGAGGGCTACCTTGGTCCATTGGAGTACAGCTCTTATGCTGATTACTACAGGCAAAAGTATGTGTTTTATTTTTTATTTTTTGATCCTCTTGATTTATGCTAGCTTTCCCATTATTTTCAAATTAAAACGGAAAAGGTCTTTTTTTTTTCAAAAAAAAATTTGTTCCAGCTGCTAACAGTGGTTGGTTTGTTGCAAGGACCGGATAGCACTAATGCGCCTCTGTTATTGTGCCTGAAGGAGAGAGAGGTTGATCTCAGTCTGAGAAGGGAGCATTTAACTACTTTCAGGTGTGAAATAAGTTGCCTCCATTGAGCAGTTCTGTAAGTGTCCCACTGTCTGTAGTTTATGAATCCTTCTGGACTGGATGTTTCTAGCTCTTCATGCACAACAGAGGTGCATTTGGCTAGGCGGTCTAATATTATAACAGGTATGGAGTCGAGTTGATCTATAAGCAACAGCCTCTTATAAGAGGGCGTGGTGTTTCATATTGCAAGAATCTCCTTTCTCCTCGATTTGAACATTCAGAAGGTATCCTTTCATCTTTTTTACATTTATTTACCTTTTTTTTTGCCTCCTGTGTTGAATCTTCCTGTTCATTTTGCTTTTCATCATTTTGGCTTCTGGAGTTAACTTGGGGAATTTTTCTTATTTAGCTAATGAAGGTGAATCTGAAGAGGCACTTGATAAAACATATTATGTTTTCCTTCCTCCTGAGCTGTGTTTTGTACATCCACTCCCGGGATCACTTGTTCGAGGTGCCCAGAGATTGCCCTCAATAATGAGGAGGGTTGAAAGCATGCTTCTTGCCATTCAGCTTAAGGATATAATTAATTATCCTGTCCCTGCTTCAAAGGTATTACAATTTCCCGGATGATTGATTTTTTAATAAATTGTTATTTTATCAATTAACGTGTGTTTTCATTTACAGATCTTGGAAGCCTTGACTGCTGCTTCATGCCAGGAGACTTTCTGCTATGAAAGAGCAGAGCTTCTGGGAGATGCTTACCTGAAATGGGTTGTGAGTAGATTTCTTTTTCTTAAATACCCTCAGAAACACGAGGGTCAGCTTACTAGAATGAGACAACAAATGGTGAGTAACATGGTCTTATATCAGTACGCATTGAATAAGGGACTTCAATCATATATCCAAGCAGATCGATTTGCTCCATCCAGATGGGCTGCTCCCGGGGTGCTGCCTGTCTTTGATGAGGACATCAAAGAGACAGGGTCATCCTTATTTGACAATGAAAGAGCCCTTGGTGTGACTGTACCAGGAGAAGCTCAAGGTGCTGATGGGTATGAAGATGATGAAATGGAAGATGGTGAGCTCGAGAGTGATTCGAGTTCTTATCGAGTCCTCTCTAGCAAGACACTAGCAGATGTTGTTGAAGCACTTATCGGAATATATTACGTTGAAGGTGGGAAGAAAGCTGCAAACAATCTCATGAAATGGATTGGGATTCAGATAGATTTTGGTCCTAAAGAGTTAGAGTGCACAACCAGGCCTAGCAATGTTCCAGAAAGCATACTTAGGAGCATCAATTTTGATGCTTTAGAAGGTGCCTTAAACATCAAGTTTGAAGATAGGGGCTTGCTGGTTGAAGCTATTACTCATGCTTCACGCCCATCATCTGGAGTGTCATGTTACCAGAGGCTGGAGTTTGTTGGTGACGCAGTCTTGGATCACCTTATTACAAAGCATTTGTTTTTTACATACACAGATTTGCCTCCTGGCCGCTTGACTGACTTGCGAGCTGCTGCTGTAAACAATGAAAACTTTGCACGGGTTGCTGTTAAACATAAGCTTCACTTGCACCTTCGACATGGGTCAAGTGCCCTTGAAAAACAGGTTTTCTAAATACTTCATCTCATTTATTTATCCAACTCTTTTTATTTATTTATTTATTAGTTCTATTTAATTCTGCATCTATCTCTGCCTGGCCTAACCGTAGTTGTCTTTTTTACTTCTAAACTCATACTGTCATTTTCAGATTCGAGATTTTGTGAAGGAAGTTCAGGATGAATTGTCAAAACCAGGGTTTAACTCGTTTGGTTTGGGGGATTGCAAAGCTCCAAAGGTTCTTGGTGACATTGTTGAGTCTATTGCTGGTGCCATCTTTCTGGACAGTGGACGTGATACTGCTGTTGTTTGGAGGGTCACTTCCAGAATTCAAACCTCCTTATATATATATATATATATATAAATAATGTTTTTCTGTTTTTTCCCCTGTACTTTTCCTTTATCTAAATCTTTGGTATGTTTACAGGTCTTCCAACCTTTGCTGCATCCAATGGTTACTCCAGAAACATTACCAATGCATCCAGTGCGGGAACTGCAAGAACGGTGCCAGCAACAGGCCGAAGGACTGGAGTACAAAGCCACTCGAAGTGGAAATTTGGCTACTGTTGAAGTTTTCATCGATGGGGTCCAGGTTGGGATTGCTCAGAATCCACAAAAGAAAATGGCTCAGAAGTTAGCTGCCAGGAATGCAAAGGGCCCTTGTTGCTTTGAAAGAAAGGGAAACAGCAGAAGCCAAGGAGAAGGCTAGTGAAGATGGGAAGAGGAAGAATGGCAGCCAGACATTTACTAGACAGACATTGAATGACATATGCTTGCGTAGAAATTGGCCAATGCCCCTGTATCGGTAAAAATAATTTATAATTAAACTTGTTTGTGTGTGTAATAATGGTTAATTTACTTGTTCAACTTTACAGTTGAATGCTTGGGAAACTCTGGATTAACAAACAATTCATTACTTTGTCATCTGTAGGTGTGTAAGTGAGGGTGGCCCTGCCCATGCGAAAAGGTTTACATTTGCTGTACGAGTGAATACTACTGATAGGGGATGGACAGATGAATGTATTGGAGAGCCTATGCCAAGCGTTAAGAAAGCCAAGGATTCTGCAGCAGTTCTTCTCTTAGAACTTCTAAATAAATTGTACCCATGATGATCATAGCAATCCAATGGGGCTAGCTTTATGGGTGCTGTGCCCTGGGGTTAGCTATTCATGCAACTTAATTTTCATCTGTTGGAAAGCCTTTGTGAAATGTCAACAAATCCAAGGACTCTGGCACTTGGAGATAACAGAGAAAAAATTGGCAGTGGCACTGGCAGCAGCTCTGTTGGTGGTGTTGTATATTATTCCTCATCAAGGGTTATTATCCTATGCTAGGCAGCATGTTTGTCACGTTGTCACGTAACTTTAAAGTTCCTTCTGCTATTGTATGATTTGAGCTAAGCCTATGCCTGTCAATTGGCAAGCTTCAGTAATATAAGCAGCTGTGTTGCATACAAAAGTTCTATGTAGCTAACTCAAGTGAATTGGATGAAATATTGATGCATTGATGTTCCATTGTCTCAGCTTGTTTGTTGCTGACTTATTTTGATTATTTCAAATGGAATCATCGATATAGGGATGGTTTGCTGCAGACTGTGCAAGTGTTAATAGTTTGTTTATTTGCCTACACATTTACTACAAACCAAGTTTTCTTTACTCTCATTTTTATGAGGGAGGGAGAGGGATTTCATTTTCCCATTAGAATAAACATATAAATATTGGGAGAGGCAAAACAAGTCACTTAAATTTCTCATGTCCATTCAAGGGAGTTGTCTCAAGGGCATCTTCATAATTTAAATAGAAGTGAGTTACACACACACACCTACCCAACGGGTTTCGTGAGCTTCAGGACTAGATAAATAAATTATAATGGTAAATGTAGAATTATATAGGTTAAAGCTAACACGCAACCAGGGTTTCCCTCGTAAAATTGTGTGCATGCATTATCTCAATACATCAAGTTGAAGCCTCTTGGAGGTTTCAACTTCCCATGCCCGAGCTCCAATGTCAACAATCCTTCCCGATGTGAAAAGCTTTGTGGCAATACTTCTCCAGAGAAGAGTGCCTCAAAGGCTAACCGACCCTACAAGTAAAATGAAACTAAAAGCAACAATGATCAGGAATCTACAATTAGAAAATTCATTCAGAAAAACTGATCTTTTAGTTACCTCTTCAGAGACCTCTTTCCATGAATCATTTGTGTTGCTGGAGCTTCTGCCACGATGATTATTAGAGTTGCCAACTGGGTGGCTTACATCAGGTTCTTTTCTCTCTTCCTTAACTTTCTCATGCTTCTCTAAAGCATTTGTCTATACTTCAATGCTAGAAGGTGTGTTGGAACCACAAGAAGAACGATCCCCCTATTTTCTGCTCTTCATCTTATTTGAATAGTGGAGCTAGGTTACTGCTGCAGCTTTCTCATCAGTTTATGTTTTTTACCCTCACTTTCCTTAGATCTTGGTGATGATAAAGTAGGTTATTAGAAGTTGAATGTTGTTCCTTGCAGAGCTTCAGAATATTTTGGGTCTAGTTGATTTTGCAATGGTACATTATGAAGAGCATGCTCTCTTTTATCATTGCTGCTTGTTGCAGCTAGGGATGGCAATGGATAACCTACCCTGTGGGTATCCATGGAGACCCAACCCAAATACATGGGTTTTCCCCTTTTTTCTTATCCATTGGGTAGGGTAGGTGATATTCTTTGAATATCTACAGGGGATGGGTTGGGGATGGATACCCACTAATTTCCCCATATGGTTTTTTTTCCAAAACTAAATATACATTCAATCTTTTTTATTTATTTATTTATTTATTTTTTTCAGGTTCACAACCAACTTTTTTTTTTTTTAATCCACAACCAAAGCTAAATATACCTCTAATATTTTTTATTATTATTATTTTTTATTTTTAAGGTTCACAACCATTTTTTTTTTAATTTTTAAGATTCACAACCAAAGCTAAATATATATTCAATCTTTTTTTATTTTATTTTTTTATTGCATGCTCTCTTTTATCATTGCTGCTTGTTGCAGCAGCAGCAACTAGGCTAGCATCACATGGTGTGTTGGAACCACTGGTTGTCCATGAATTCCTCCCATTTGGTGAAATATGGATTCTTGGTATGGCATATCTGAAGAAATATTGTCAATGCCCATTCCTAGGCTCCCAACTTGAACATGCACAGGAACATGTCTTGGGTAGTCGTGTGTGGCTTCCATATCATTTGACAGCATTTTCCCAAAAATTTTTGGCTGGCTGATTCCAGCTGTTTTCTTGCCTTGAATCAATTTCTCAAGCAAAGGCTTTGACCTCTCGAAGTTTGCAGTGAAACTGTTTGTTTTGCGTCAAGTTTAACTAATTTTTTATTTACTCTGGACTCAACAGTGACATAAGATTCATTTGTTTTATCCTGGGTAAGCACCTCTTTAATCATTGACGTACTCCCTAAAAGTGCATGAATTTCTGAGCGGCATAGGTGTTGGCATGGAATTGTTGTTTGCCGAAGGCAAGTAGGTATAGGGAACTTCTTCGAAAAGAGTAGAAACTTCACAACAACTGTTATCATTGTGGTTTTCTTTTGCATTTCTTGGCTTTTCATCTCCATCCAGTTTGTGATAAAAAAAAAATTAAAAATTAAAAAAACCCGTAGGCCTAGTTTGATTAGTAGGATTAATAGTGAATAGATTAACAATCCATGGAATTAATATAAGATTGATTATCCAACTACATTAATTAGTGAGATAAATAATTTTCTCTTGTCCACGTTTGTTTTGCAATAATTATGAAAATATATGATCCCAATTATATGTTTGTTTTGCATTATTAGTTGTAGGATTAAAAAATCATCAATTTTGTTAGGTAGAATATCTATTAGAATCTAATCTGGATAACAAAAAATGCAATCAAACAGTGAAATGTGAGTCCCATGAAGTAATAATCTTAATCTTATGCTATAATCCAACCAATCAAATAAGCCCTTAGTGTTATTGCATGACGTGTGCATATTTTTATTCATATTAAAATGCTTAAAGATGAATTAAGTATCCTTGTCTCATGAAATGCTTTGAAGCATGCTTTGACAAATCCTTGAAACATAGTATAGATAGATTGTTCGTTGAATGTACACTTATATGCTTTGCCATGAAATGACTATATAGTTTTGAATTGTTATATACTTCTTTGATATGAAATGGATTAGGATTTCGCGATACAAGATTAAGAAATTCTCTTTTGAACATAATATGCTCATATATGTTTTCAACTCCTTAATCAAGTAGCTTGATTACTTTGGTCTAATATGCTTGACAATTTCATATGTTATGTGAAAAACTTTATTGATATCATAGTGGACTTAATCAAGATTAATTAAGATAATCATAATTAATTAGTTTCAGCAAGATTAGAGACCTAACCTAACTTATTTAGTGTTAACCTTGATTAATTAAGTTGAGCAAATGATTAATTGGTTAGAGACAAACACACATCTTGCTTAAGAGTGTGCCACTTCCTCCTTAACTTGGGGAGCTTCTATTTCTACACACATATTCCTCTCTGTGCACACACTTCATAAAACTTATTTTCATTACAATTTTATCCCTAACCATAATGGACATCCACACACAATTCAAATAAACACACAAGTTCTCAATACACATCTCACACTACACATTGTTGAAGCTCCACACTCCATGGTCACGCACTCCATTCTTCCATACCTAGTTTGCTAAACCTCCACACTCCATAGTCATCCTTTCAAACCCTTCATTATTAGCTTTCATTCATTAGTTTACACACTAAACACCCTCATTCTTCATTCTTAGCTTTTCACTAGTTTACACACTAAACCTCATCCTCATTCATCATTGTTATGGAAGATTTTCCTTTTGAAAATTCAGATTTTCAGAAGTAGATAACTATTCATGAGAAAGATAGCTAAGAAAAGGTGATTTTTTTTTTTTGGGTGAATATGAAAGGGAGTTTTGCTATGTAAAAATCATAACACATTTTTATTTTATTTATTTATTTATTTATTTATTTTTTCAGCGTCTTTCGAAAAACTAAGGTCGAAATGCATTAATTTGTTCGATAATCTACTATCAAATTGATTAGTTAATTTCGAAAGTTGTATTCCGAACTAAATTAAAATATTCGACATGTAACTTTCAAACCATGAACAGTAGCAGTTTTTTCGACAGAAGTAGTTTTTTTGACATTGTATTTTCCAAATGAAATAAAAGTTTTGTTTTTTCATTTTATATTCCAAATTTGTACATTTCATACTAAATTTGCAGTTTGAAATAGCAAATTTGTCTTTTTAATGCCATTTCAAATTTGCAATATTATACAAAACTTACAGGAATATGTCTCAAGCCAAGGAAGTGAGGTTCGCATGGATGGTGTGTCGGATTACACTACTCAATTCACAACTAAACATATTTACTCTACGAAATTTGTAATATTATACAAAACTTGCAAGAATATGTCTCAACTCAAGCGTGAGTAAGAACCACTTCCTGAACAGTAAGAGAATCAGGTGAAGGGGCATTCTCCATGGTGTAGACGTCCCCGAACGTCCCGGGAGGGAATCCCGTTTTGTTCATTGGGCTCACTACAGTTCGGACTCAAATGTCACGGTTTTGAATCTAATCCCGCAAAGTGCAATGTGAGACCGATAAATCACCAAAGAGTCTAAATCCGGCAAATCGTTTTGAAAAAAAGATTTTTAGAAAGAAGTGCCAAACATGGACTGCTTTGCCAGATACAGAGTCGCCACCTAAATATTTTATTTTGGAGGAATTTAGGAAACCCTGGCTCGTGCCTAAGGCCACGTGTTCGCCATCACCAAAGTTGCCTCGGCTCGGGAACTTGGGTACGATTGGGGAAGGTCACTTCGTGAGCACCCCCGCTCGCCCGATCAAAGATCGGCCTCTACTAACCATGATATCGAGTTTTGAAAACATTATGTGCTCTTATTCCGGTTATTAACCTAGAATTACTATGTGATGCACACAGCATACAAGTATAGACTAGATTGCCTAATTTGGAACAAAGCATCGCATATCCGTTTGTTTTAAAAATGGATTGAAGTTTGGTACTCGCAAGTAGGGTAAAACACGGGTTTCGACAAATTATTCCAATTCAAGCAACCCAACCTTCACCTACAGGCATTCAGACAGTTACATCACGTAAGCAGATAGCCTTATGGCAAGCATGCTATCATGGCAATACTCACACTCATGCAAGATGCTAAAGCATAAAAGCTTACCTAGTACTTCGAGCTAAAACAAGAAACTAGTTAGGAATCATGCATGATCCTAGTTCATGTTAAGATGGCTAATGCAACACATGCAAAATGCAACTAAAATAGGCTCAGCTATTCTAAGAATGACATGTGAAATGTGGCAACTCGATACATGTATTTAAGTTGGAATTGAAATGCTATGCAATTAGTATGATGTGCCGAGCCCGGTGCGTGTAATACGAATGAATGTATGCAAACATGCTAACATAAGGTATGCTAATCGAAACATGACCTAAAACTAACCATCAAAAGCAGGTAAGTAAAAGGGAGAAAGACGTGGGGTTGGAAGA